ACGACAGCTTAGCTTCTGTCTTGCTAGCTTGCGCTGTGCTCAGTGGATCTGCACTCGACAGTGCAGCCTAGACAGAGTAGTCGAGCGCAGATCCACTGAGCGCTCAACACAGACAGCATCATCAGAAGAAAAGTTGATAAAATAAATAAAAATGTTGTATTGTTCGATACATATGCGTACCGAACCAAAAGCGCTGTATCGAACGGTTCAATATCAATACGAGTATCGTTGCACCCCTAATAAATTAACTTGCAGAACAATAATAGGAGCAACTCTATATTTTTTAAGCGATGTGCTGGAAGTTCGTCTGCAGGAAGTTTCAAGCCTCAGACTCTTGATTTCCTGCACTCTGCTGATTTTTTTTTTTATGCACCGTTTTGATTTGTATCCCTGCTGAGTCGACACATCCAGGCGCTTCATTCATCTGTCGTCTCCTCCTTGTGATTACCTGACTTGAGTGTAATGAGTTGATCATTTACTCTGATATCGGGACAATTTTCAGTCTTTTATTCGGGGAAGCTCAAATGAAGAAATTTTCTGCACACGTCACATATTTTAGGACGTGCACATCTGAGCTCATTGAGACTGAGAGCCAGGAGCTCAGGTAGCATTTACTGAAGGTTGATTGGCAAACGAGCAGCAACACTTTAGAAGCGACTTCTTTTAAATTAGAGTTTTCTGTTTCATGGTTTGTGCAGTGCTTTCACTTTTAAAACTTTGAGAATCTTCATAAATTACTTTGGTGTCTGGGTTCTCCCTCAGAGATGTTTCTCCTACAGTTCAGTTGGTTGTTCTGAATGGGATGCTTCACGAGTGCCTCCTAGATGAGGTGTTTAACTGGCAGGAGACCTCAGGGCAGATCTAGTCTGGGAACGCTTCAGTGTCCCTGCTGGAAAGCTGGAGGAGGAGGTGGCTGAGGGGAGGTAGGTCTGGGCATCTCTGCCCCTAGAAGCGTAAAAATGGATGGGTGGATTTCTGTTGTTAGTTTTTAAGGCTGGCTAGTTTTAAAGTCCCACCCAAGGAAAGGAATCTCCTGGTGATGAAACTCTCTCCCCGGAGTTTGTGGGTTCCTCCTGGGGTGGAAATGCAGGT